TCACGCCGCTTGGTCGGCCGGTTGCAGTCGCCCTAGCAGACCCCTCTAGGGGTCCTGTCCTCTCTCACTTCTCCACTGTCCTCCCGTGTCCGGCTGCCCCCTCTGGCACCTTGTCTGGTCTTTACCTCCCCTTGTTCTCTACGAACTTGGTGAGTGGTGCTGACCTGCAGGATGCGGGGGTTCACCAGTTTACTCCTGCGAGTGAGCGGGTGACCCACTGCTCGGACGCTCGCACAGGCCGGCACCTGGCCACGTTTACACGTCGGCCGGGGTCGAGCCTCTACACCCTGACCACTGAGTCTCCTCCTGTCCCTGCGTCTGGTCAGGTAGCTGCGTCGGGTCAGGTGTTTGCTGCAGCGTCCAGGTCTGGTCCTGAGTCTGCCCCCTGCTCGTGTCGCCTCCTGTCTCACGAGACTCTCCTCTGGCACCACCGTCTTGGTCAACCCTCCCTGCCTCATCTCCGAGGCATGGCTTCCCGTGTCCTTGTCTTTGGTCTTCCCCGGTCCCTCCCTCCCCTTCCTTCGGGGCCTGGTCCTTCCCGTGTTCCCTGTGTCGAGGGGCGGCTACGGGCTGCTCCTCACTCCTCTCCGTTTCCCCCGACAAAGGCCCCGCTGCAGACGCTTCACATGGACGTGTGGAGCCCGGCCCGCGTCCGTGGACAGGGTCACGAGCGCTACTTTCTGCTGGTGGTTGACGACTACTCGCGTTACACCACAGTCTTCCCCTTGCGCAGCAAGGACGATGTCACTGAGGTGTTGATCCACTGGATCCGCGCAGCTCGTCTCCAGCTCAGGAGGAGCTTCGGCTCGGACTTTCCTGTTCTGCGTCTGCACTCTGACAGAGGCGGAGAGTTCTCCTCTGGCCTTCTGCGAGCCTACTTCCGTGCGCGAGGCATCCGCCAGACCTTTACGCTTCCGGACTCTCCACAGCAAAATGGGATTGCTGAGCGCCGCATTGGCATGGTCATGGACGTCGCTCGTACGTCCATGATGCATGCGGCTGCCCCCTATTTTCTGTGGCCATTTGCGGTTCGGTACGCGGCGCATCAGATCAACCTTCACCCCAGGGTCTCCAGGCCGGAGACCTCCCCAGCTTTGCTGTGGACGGGGAAGGTAGGCGATGCGTCTGCGCTCCGTGTCTGGGGATCTCGGGCGTTTGTCCGCGACTTGTCTGCGGGCAAGCTGTCCCCTCGTGCTGCTCCTTGTGTCTTCCTTGGCTTCCCCCGTGACGCGCCAGGGTGGCAGTTCTACCACCCCACCTCTCGTCGTGGTCTGTCCTCTCAGGACGTCACGTTTGATGAGTCGGTCCCCTACTACCGCCTCTTCCCCTTCCGCACTCCTTCTCTCCCCCCGCCACCGCTCTTCCTTGTGCCAGGTCCCCCCCCGGTAGACCCCCTCCCCCCTCAAGGTCCTGCCCCTTCAGGTGTGTCCCAGGTAGACGCGGTCGAGCCGGTCAAGGTTACTGGTGACTCTGGTGCTGCTGTGGGTGCTGAGCCTGGGGGTGCTGACTCTGGGGGTGCTGCGCGGGTGGGTACTACGCCTGGGAGTGGTGGGCCTTCGGGTGGTACTGCTGGGGGTGCTGAGCTTGGGGGTGCTGCGCCTTGGGGTGCTGAGCCTGGGGGTGCTACGCCTGGGGGTGCTGAGCCTAGGGGTGCTACGCCTGGGGGTGCTGAGCCTGGAGGTCCTATGTCTGGAGGTGCTGAGCCTGGGGGTGCCACGTCTGGAGCTGCTGAGCCTGGGGGTGCGGAGCCGGCGGCCGCTGGGCCTGCTCGTGTGGCGTCTGGCGCTGCTGGGCCTGGAGGTTCTCCGGGTGCTTCGTCTCGGCGGGAGCCACTCTCTCCACAGGAGCTGCGTCAGTGGTTTGCCCGGCGCTGGAGGCGTACTGCTGGAGCTTCTTCGGCTGCTGAGGATGCTGGTGCCGCCGGTCCCGGAGGTGCTCGTGCCGCGAGTACTGGAGCTGCTGGGTTTGCGGGTTTGCCTGGAGCTGGAGGTGCTGAGGGTGTTGGCGCTGAGGCTACTGCTGTCAGTCCTGGAGACGGTTCTGCTGGGGGTGTTGCTGGTGCTGCTGGAGGTGCTGCTGGCTCTAGTCCTGCTGCGGGTGCTGCTGGTCCTGCTGGAGGTCCTGCAGCTGGCCGTGGTGTTGGCGCTGGTGCTGTCCCTACTGTGTCTGGAGACGCCGCGCGCCCTCGGCAGTACTTCGTTCCGCTCCTTCAGCAGGTTCTTCGTCTTCCTCCTCCCTTAGAGTGTCCACCGCCTGTCCAGTCCCAGTCACAGCTTCCGCAGGCCTCCCCACTGCCTGCTCCTTCTCCCTACACTGGTCCTACTGGAGGTCTTGCTGAGCGTCGTGAGCCTGCGTCTCGTCCTGCGTCGCCTGTTCGTGCTGCTCGCACTAGTGGTCGCGGTTCGCGTCAGCGCCCTCCTCCTGTCCCTGGCACGCACCGGATGTCTCTGCGTCCGTCCACTGCTCCTCTGCGTGCCCCTTTGCCTTCTCCTCCTGAGTCCTCTCTTCCTGCTCTTGCCAACTCGGAGTCGGACTCTCTTCGTGCTGCCAGTCCTACTGTCACGCGTCTCCTTGCTACTGTCGTCACTGACCCCTCCTTTGAGTCCACTGCTGCGTCTGCTCTTGTTGCTGAGCTCGTCGACTTTGCTGCTCGCTGTCGTCTAGACTACGCTGCTAGTCTTGTTGCTGAGTCTGCGTCTTTCTGTCCTCCGTCCGTCGGGGGTGAGTGTGCTCTTGGCACGGACGTCCTTGAGGACAGGCAGGAGGAGTTCCAGTGTCTGGCTGCTGCTTCACCTCATCTCGTGTCCGTACTGCTTACCCCTGAGGGAGACCCGGATGCACTTGACATCCCGACTCTGCGCTCTTACGCGGAGGCCGTAGAGGGTCCCTACTCCTCTCAGTGGCAGGCAGCTATGGATGCAAAGATGGCTTCCTGGAAGTCCACAGGCACCTACGTTGACGCAGTTCCCCCTCCTGGGGCGAACATCGTCAGTGGCATGTGGATCTTCAGGGTGAAGTGGCCACCAGGTTCTCCACCTGTCTTCAAGACGCGGTACGTCGCTCGTGGCTTCAGTCAGCGGCAGGGAGTTGACTACTTTCAGACCTTCTCTCCCACCCCGAAGATGACCACTCTTCGGGTGCTGCTACACATAGCCGCTCAGCGTGACTACGAACTTCACTCCCTTGACTTCAGCACTGCTTTCTTGCAGGGTAGCCTGCATGAGGAGATCTGGCTGCGCCGTCCACCTGGCTTCACTGGGACTTTCCCTTCCTGCACCGAGTGGAGCCTCCGACGGCCAGTCTACGGTCTCCGCCAGGCACCGCGCGAGTGGCACGACACACTGAGGACTACGCTTGCGGCTCTTGGGTTTGCTCCCTCTACTGCCGACCCGTCGTTGTTTCTGCCTACCGACACCTCTCTGCCGCCGTTCTACATCCTCGTGTACGTCGACGACTTGGTCTTTGCCACTGCTGACACTGCTGGACTCGCCCACGTGAAGTCCGAGCTGCAGAAGAGACACACGTGCACAGACCTGGGTGAACTGCGCAGCTACCTTGGCTTGCAGATCACCCGGGACAGAGCACGCCGAACCATTAGCCTAACTCATTCACACATGGTGCAGCAGGTCCTTCAGCGCTTCGGCTACACGTACTCCTCGCCTCAGGCCACTCCTCTGCCTACTCGCCACTCGCTCTAAGCTCTGCCTTCGGATGAGTCCGTAGAGTCGAGTGGCCCGTACCCAGAGCTTGTTGGCTGCCTCATGTACCTGATGACCTGCACACGACCTGACCTTGCATACCCTCTTAGCATTCTTGCACGCTATGTTGCTCCTAGGAGACACAGACCAGAGCACATGGCTGCAGCGAAGAGGGTGTTGCGCTACTTGTGCAGTACGTCGGGCATGGGGCTAGTGCTTGGAGGGCAGAGTCCAGTGGTCCTCACTGGGCACGCAGACGCTTCTTGGGCTGACGACCAGGCTACACAGCGGTCGTCACAGAGTTACACCTTCAGCCTTGGTTCCGGCTCTGTTTCGTGGCGGGCTACTCGCTCGTCTTCTGTTCTCGGCTCCAGTTGTGAGGCTGAGATCTACGCCGGAGCCATGGCTGCTCAGGAGCTTCGCTGGCTCACCTACCTGCTGACTGACCTCGGAGAGCCGCCTCGTTCTCCTCCAGTGCTGTACGTAGACAACAAGGCCATGCTGGCCTTGTGTCGGGAGCAGCGCCTGGAGCACAGAACGAAGCACATTGTTCTCCGCTACTTTCTTGCTCGTGAGCTGCAGCAGCGTGGTCAGTTGCGACTTGCGTACGTGGCCTCTGAGGCCAACACTGCTGATATCTTCACTAAGGCACTTGCGCCTTGTGATCATCAGCGCTTCTGTACTCAGCTTGGTCTTGTACCTGTCTTGCCTCACTTACTCACTTCTTGACCTTGCTTGTACTGTGACATATATATATATACTCCTGCTCTTGCTTGTTTAGCCTGTTATATATATATGTGTTCCTGCATGTGAACTGACCTTCTGGCCTTGAACTTGTGCTCGGAATGTGTGGTGAGGTGACTTTGTGATCCACCCTGAGCTTTGCTTTGTTTTGTTTGACTGGTCTTGTGACCCCTTGTTCTCCCCCACTTTGCCTATGGGGGTGTGTCAAATTATAATGTTGTGTAGGCTATAGTGGGGTAGCCTATATGGGGTACACATTTCTAGGGTTGCATATTTGTATCACTTTCGTTCCTTAGTCAATCATTCTCGTTTCAGTTCTCACTACGACATTTACTTTATCTTACCCTACTATATCAATGCATACACGATACATCCGGCAATAGTAGACTGCTTATTACCAAGATTCCGTGGCGTCAACTGACCAAAGAGTATTTGCCACCCTTGTTTTGCTTGTGTTGTTTGATACACTTCCAGTCACCTGTCCTTGTCCTACACTCTGCCCGCCCCCTCCTGCCGCTCCTCCTCTCCCTCCTGCTCCTCCTACCCTTGCTCCTCCTCCTACCCTTGCTGCTCCTCCTGCTCCCCTTCCCCCTGCTCCTCCTGCTCCTCCTCCTGCGCCCCACCTTCCCACGACACCTATTTTCCCCCCCGGAGCCTGCACTAGCCCAGGGGAGACCACCACACGACCAGGTGCTACAATCTGTGGCGGGTTTCCACCTGCAGGTGCTTTCAACGGAGGCTTCGGTGCAGTAGGTGTTGCTCCAGGTGTTTTCGGGCCCATGGGTGACCTGGCAGGTGCCTTCGGAGATGGGGAAGTGACAGGCGGCCGAACCAATGGCGGCTTGACAACTGGCGATTTGGCAGCTGGAGATTTTGCTGATGGCGGCTTCACTACAGGAGGCTTGGTTGCAGGGGTTGTGACTGCAGGTGGTTTGACCACAGGGGTCTTGGCTACAGGAGGGTTTCCTACAGGAGGCTTGGTTGCAGGGGGATTGACAACGGGTGGCTTGGCTGCAGGGGGCTTGACTGTAGGAGGGTTGACTACAGGAGGTTTGGTTGTAGGGGGTGTGACTCCAGGTGGTTTGACTGCAGGGGGTTTGACAACAGGAGGCTTGACTGCAGGGGTCTTGGCTACAGGTGGGTTCACTACAGGAGGTTTGGTTGCATGTGGTTTAGCTGGAGACTTGACTGCAGGTGGATCGACTACAGGGGGTGTGACTGCAGGTGGTTTGACAGGTGGCTTGACTACAGGCGGGTTGACTACAGGGGTTGTCTCCCCACCCCCTCCTCCCCCTGCTCCTCCTCCCGAATCTCCCCCTCCTCCGCCCGTCTTGTTCTTCCGCCAGCCTCCTCCCCCCGCGGACGGCGGCAGCGGCGCGGGCAGCGCGTTGGCGAGCTGGACAAACGTCGGTTCTAAAAGCGCATTGGTGTAATAAAGGTCGACCCACGCGTCGGGCACGCCGGGCAGGCACCAGTGCGTGCAATCCCCCGGCCATTTCTCCATGCGCTTCGTCAGATCCTTAAATTCCGGGTTCCGCACGATGTCGTCGCTCCACAGGCCGAGATGCCCGTCCGGCCGCACCGCGCTCAGGCGCGTCACGCGGAGGAGCCGCATCGGGCTGCCCGTACCCGTTAAAGACAGCTTCTGCATCGCGTAGAAGTTTTCCGTCTCCTGCGTGGTCGGGTATAGCTGCGCGACGGCGGCTTTAACTACGGACGTCGCGCCGCACGCGCCGGCCTTGGTGGCATTCGCCGGCGGGCTGTAGTGCTTCGGAGAGGACGAGACGAAATACGGCACGCCCGGGTAGTCCATATTTTTCAGGTGCTGCCCGAGATTGTGCATCGCCTCGCGATACGCGTCCACGTCGGAAACTTCGACCAGCTTCCCGCCGCGGAAATAGCTATTCTTCTTGCTCCTTCCGGGAACGTTCTGCATCCACCAAGCCATGGAGTGAAATATAATCCCGTGATACGCGGGAATGACGTGGAGCAGATCTGGATCGATAACGTCCACGTCGATCTGATACCCGTGGTTGCCCTTCTTGCCGTTCTCGTTATAGCCGATAGCGGAGCGCATGAGGTGCGGGAGGAAGTAGTAGTGTATCTCGAAGCGGAAACCGGGGAAGGAGAATCCGCGGAAGCGCGCTCCGCTTGGGGTGCGGTAGCTTACTTTCTGGGAGAGGAGAATCGGGTGGGGGGAGGGAAGGGGAGCGGGGAGGATGGGGAAGCGAGGAGAGGTAGTGGGGAGGGGGGAAGAGGATAAGTCACAAGCGCATGAGGTGCGGGAGGAAGTGATAGTTTATTTCGAAGTGGAACAAAGTACGCACACACCTTTCTCTCGCTTCCACTCACCTCTCACCAATGCATACACACATACCCCCTACCCCCCCCCACCCACGCACCCACACACACACGCACATACGAGCCCCAGGCGCGTGAACGATCGCCTCCCATCATCTGCCATTGTCCCCTTGTTTTCGTTCTCTCTCATTCTCTGCTTCTCAAGCTCTTCTTTTTAGCTTTTCTAAAACCCGTTTATGAGGCGCCTCAAAAACTTGCTATTCACTCTAGCCTGCCTAGGACATACTAATCCGGTGCGAGGTGACTTTTGAGTCGACTCAAAAGTAGCCTGCCTAGGACATACTAACCCGGTGCGTGAACGGTCCCGAGGTGATGAGGCACAGCAGCGACTCGTACATGTTCCCCATGATCGAATCCCCCACCATCAGAAGTTTCTGTAACGGGGACACAAGAAATCGGGCGCAAGAACAACGTATGCATACTGAGGCAATGTGGTGAGTTCGGTTGATTCACTGTAGCAACACCAAACTGCTATTAAGCGGCCTAAAAAGGTTATCCAGCGCGTGAAATGCGGGACGGGAATGGGGAGGGAGGAGGGGTGAGGGAAGGGAAGGGGGGAGTAAAGGAGGCGGGAGGGGAAGGGGAAGTGAGATAAGTAGGGAGTAGAGGTGGGGGAGTGAAGCGGTATCGTGAATGCAATTATTTGCAATGCAAAATCTTTCTGCTGTTTTCGCATTGCTCGCGCACTTTTCGCTCACCTTGTTTCGCATGAGTCTCAAGAAGCCCCACGGGTTGACGTAAGTCAGGTTACACCCCTCGGGTTGCCAGCGGTACGAGCGGTATATTTTGTCGGGCCTGCCCGTGCCGTCGCAATTCCAAAGCGCGCGCATGTACTTGCACTGATAGCGGCTCGTCGTATTGACGCCACTGTAACGAGGGAAGCGCACCGGAGCGGGTATCCAGCTCCCGGTCGCATAGTCACAAGCGCCTGTAACAAGAGGAAGGAATGCGCATTTGGCACGTGGGAATTTTGCAACAATGTGGTTACCACATGGTATTTCTTAGAACGATTCGACAAGATTTAGGGCATTCTTCTAAGTGAACGGAGTGACAGGGAAACGGAATGGGCTGCAAAGGTGGGATGAAACGTGCGATGTAAGGTGCAATGCAAGTACGGTACATTGTAACGGACAGTATGTGGATTCACCGCGCAACGGGAAATCATGAGCTGGAAACGTACGTGGATTTTGCTTTAATGCGAGCGGAGCAGCAGGAACGGCGAAGCTTATCGATACGATTATAGCGACGACAAGCGGCGCCAAGCCGTGAAAATGAGCCCTGCTCCGCATGCTCCGCGCGGCAGCTTCCCCACGCCCCCTGCAGCACCTGGCTTCGCCATCCTCGCTTGTTACAAGCCGTTTCGTTACAGGAACGCAGCGTCGACATATGCTGCTGTTGATCATATTATTGCGCCCACAGATCTCTAGTTTGAATTAAAAATGTAATTCTCTAGGCAGCAATACAGTTTCTCCAATTCTAACGGCCTAACGACTTGTTGAGTGATAACGGGCTCTAACTCGTAGAGAAGCCAAAGTTAAGCGATAAGGGGTTACGCAACGAGATCACTCAACGAGTGCCCCAATCACAATAATAGTAGCAGCATATCCGCACTATGATGGACGTATAGCGATCCCGTATCGGTGCTTCGCGTGAAATGCGCCGGCAAAAACATACTGCTTCGCGTGGAGCGTGGGGAACTGCGATGCGCAAAAAGAGGGGGACTAAGTCGATTAAAAATGTCAATGAAATCAATGGCTGGTGGTAGCTGTCGAACAGGCAGACGCAACGTTTAGGAAAACTAGCAAGGCCTTCAGGAATCTCACTAAGGCTTGACGTTCTGCTAGAGTCTACCTACGTCGACAAACAGCAGCAAAGGCATTCTTCGGTGGCGAGATTCTGGCCAACTCTGCAAACAACAAACTCCCTAGAGAGATTTCTTCCAGTAAAGTCGTGTCTATCCCGTTTCTAGGCGTCATTGGCCACGGTCACGTAACTCACAAAGCACATTGGTTGGTTGGACCATCTCGCGCCTACCCCCTAAAGCCCACGCCCCCAATACGTTTATGACGGCGCCCAGGGTTCCGCTGGGGCTCCACACATTTATGACGTGGACGTGTCCCGTCCCAACTTCCACTCACAAAAAGCATGTTGTGTGTGTGAGCGCGATCAGCGTTCGCTGGAGATAGCGCTTGGTTTGGGGCAAGAAGGGATGATGAAGGCTGCTGCTACTGCCTACCGCAAGGGAATGTGGAAAAACCGTAACGGAGAGGTGCGAGGAGGCGAGGCGAGGTGGGGGGAAGCGAGGTAAGCTACAAAACGGTGAAGCGAGGTGAGAAAAGGTGAGGCGCAATGGAACAGGCCAGGATTCCCAGGAGGAACCCTTCCTCCTAGATGGGGCTGGGGATTTCATCTCGAACCGCCCGTCAAGGCCACACATGCGGCTCGGAAATGTTAGGAACCCTGGGTGCCGTGGCGAAAGCGACAATAATGGATGCCCATGTCGCACATCCTCGCGCGCTTTACGTTTCGGAGTCCGCGATGAGATTTCGGCTTCGCATGTTCGTGGGAGACAGGCGTAAGGGAACAGTGGCGTGGGGATAGTCGCTTCTGTAAAGGAAGGTGGGAAAGGAAAAAATTATGTAAATAAAATACACCAGAAGTAGGTGATGTATACAAGAACAGTGTTCGAAAAGGGTATACTAGGGCTTCACGACAATCCCTTAAAATGTTTGTACAACTGCTCCACAAACCCCTCAATAGCATCCTCTACCATGCTACAAAATGGTGTTGTGAAACTACAAAGCATACTGTAACTATGCCTGCACACACAACCTACAAGAAAAATATCACAGAAAAAACGCTATGCAACGACCTATTGAGGTGACCAGTCCGCACCACTCAACGCTGCGACGGCCGACGGAACGAAGACGGAGGCGCCAGCGCCGGTTGCGGTAACCAGTTTGTAACATCCAAATGCCTGCGTTGGCTCTCATACGAAGAGCTATTCAGTGTAGCTGCTCGTTCCAGTGACACTGGGAGCACATTCACCCCCCCCCCATAACCCCCATCATCCTCCCCATCCGCATACCCATCCCCATCCTCATCATCCTCCCCACTTACTCCCACCCCATACCCATATGCATCATGCACCATTGCCGGGCCTCTGGGAGCATTGCTTCGGCCGCGGCTAAGTGGCC